ACGATATACCAACAGGATAAAGTTTAAATTATATTAACAAACCAGAATTTGTTAAGTATTTCTTTTTAAATTTGAAAGTACGACCAACCAACATCAAGATTTTGTAACGTTTCAAATTAAGAATGTGTGAGTTTTGGCGATATCGGTTCTGATAGTAATCAAGGCCTAAGGCTCTTCCATTGTTTTTTTTTTCTTGCGTGGTTGTAACTGTTTATAATGCTTATCTCCTAGGAGTTTCTGCCGCTCATATAGCAATGCTTATTGATGAAAATTATAAAATGAAATATGCGCATTGTCATAAATGAAAACATTGGGTATTTTTTAGACAGAGGAAACAAAATACTACGTACAATTCCTAAACTTTCTGGTGCGCGATCTCATTATTATTAAACCGCTCGCTTATTCACCGTGCATATTTCAGAAGTTTGTGTAGGAATTGTACAGCAGAGGAAATATAATAAAAAAAATAATATGTTGATCTCCGTAGCCCACGTCCTACGGGCACTTCATGAAAAGGTCCTGGAATTGATTCCCGGTAGAAATTGGTTCTAATCTGGGTGTTCACTTCTGATCAATTTGCTAGTATTGGTTTGATTGTCTGTCATACATTTTTTTTAATACTATAATATCCAATACTATAATGACAAGTCCCATGTGTCTGTAATTTCACCAGCACCCTTGCCCGGAAACCGGAACACAGTAATGTTGACATTACTGCTTGGCGGCAGAAATAGGTAAGGTGGCAGTACCACCCTAGATGAACTCTTTCACAAGGAGGTCTGCTACAAAGTTCTTTTCTCAGTTAGTGTACGGATTTCAGTCTTTAAATGATTATTTATGTTTATTTATTTAAGAAAACATACATACATAAGTCTTACAAAATACATAACTTGTTAACAAACCAGGTTGTTCCATTAAATACGTATTACATAATCTCAGTACAGAGTACTAAAAAAACCGACCTCAAAAGTACGTGGATAAAGATGTAATCATCTATTTGCTAAGTTTTTTTGAAATATCCTTAAATTCGCCACTACACAGGACTTGTCACTGGAGATAATAAAAATCGGTTTTCACTACTCAAAGAATATCGAGACAAAAATGCCTTGAAATGGAGGAATAGCAAAATCAACTATTAAAATAATTGCTCCTTAAAAATATTTAGGCGCCATTTATAAAAATGAATCTTCATGCATGAACAGCCACCCTTAGAGGTGGATGATTTCCTTCAAAATGAAATAGGACCACTATGGAAGTTCCCCCTTTTCAACAAAAAAATAATCATGAAAATCGGTTAACAAATACTGGAGTTATCGCGTAACATACATACAAAAAAAAACATACAGTCGAATCGAGAACCTCTCCTTTTTTGAAGTCGGTTAGAAATATGAATTTGTACAATGGACACCTTTCCAAAATGAAAATTTAAAAGGTTATATTATTGAAAACAAGGATTTATATGGGAATCCTATAATATTAGCTTAAAAACAGATTTTCTATATTTAACTATAAAACAACTAGTTATAATTGTAATTATGAAATAACTTCTAGCAATCCTTCTGTATCATCGTAAGTCTTATTCCTCTTTTTACACTCTATCTTATTCAGGGCGAAATAATGCCAAGTAGAATTTAATTTAAAGTAAAAGAATATGCCAAAGAAGCTGAATAATTTATGCGAGTGTGCTGTGCGATGACATGTCTTAATATCAGATGTAATGTTGGAATTTTCTGTGATTTCAGACTATAATCTAAGCTGGAAAGAAGCTAATGGTGCCTGGCAAGATACCTGGTCAAACAAAGGAATGTTAATACAAGGCTCCGAAGAATATACTCTTAAAGGGCTCAAATGTGGTACTAAATATTCTTTAAGAATGACAGCTGCTAATAGTGTTGGCGCTTCACAGCCTACTTACGTCGATGCTACTACTTTGGGAGGAGGTATGTGTTAGATTCTGAACCTATGTTAAATGATAAGGTAGATAATATTTTTTTGGTGAAAATACTACACTGCTTTGTTAGATCGGGCTGGCGACAAACCTCGCTAAGCCAATAGTTTTATAGGAGTAGTTATTATCACAGAACAATAAATACAGTAGCAGTGCTTCCTTTGCGTGGTACGTGTGCCAACAGTTCGCGGAGTTCCGCAAACTTGAGCCCAGTCCACCATTTTAGCTTAGAACGTTCTGGTCGTGTTAATTATCTGCGCAAAACCTCGAAAATACTCTGGAGTGAAAAGATGATAACAAAAAAATAACAAATTGTGGATAGTTAATATAATTCAAACTTTACCCTGTTTGCATATCGTTAAAAATTCAACACGATGATAAGTGTTATGTATGTACAAATGTTTATTCACAAGAAGTACTGCCACCTTATCTATTTCTGCCGCCAAGCAGTAATGTCAGCATTACTGTGTTCCGGTTTTGAAGGGTAAGGGTGCTGGTAAAATAATGGGCACATGGGACTTGTCAAGTTATGTCTCTGGGTGTCGGGCGCAGTGGTAGTGCCCCTTAGATCTTTGCGATTTAAAGCCCTGTGTGGCACTGCAACTGTTATGGACAGGCGTGTAGCTTACTAGCAAGATTTTAATCAGTGTGATGATAGCACATTTTGTTTATCTATGAAGTTAAGATATGTTTGGGTTTGACTTCGTGATTGTAATTAGACTTAATCGATACTAAAACTATTTGAATTTAAACCATCTAAAAATGCTTTTTAAAATTGGTGCCCAGTCTGGGACTTCAAAACCCTGGTATAATATTAAAAGTTGAAGGTTATATAGTGTAAAGTAAAAATTATGATAAAAGTAGCAAAAACAATTTTTAGTATACAAAAAGTAAATTAACATCTAAATGTACCTTATTAAAGAGAGTTGAATGTTGTTTTAGTTATTGCACGTAACGTTTCAGTTCCAATTTCACCAACGAGCACTGAATGGTTCTGGAGCAATGCAAGCCATATCTACATCCAACTGAGCGGCTGGGATGACAATGGTTGCGAAATCAGTCGATGGGAAGTGGAATATCGGGAATACGGAAGCAAAGGATGGAAGAAAGCTGAGAATCGAGTAGTATGTACACTTTCTTAATAGAGGTCAAACGCACCGATGAGACAGAGAAACAGTTTTATTTATTGTTTTTAATGCTACTGAAGTACATTTGAAGAGCTCTTAAATATTATGCTATAACAAGCATAGCACCTTCTATGGTAAAACATGGAATGCGTGTGCCGTGTATAATTATTAATATAAAGTTCGAACACTAAGCAAAAATTCCTTCGATCCATAAAGCACGGCTTGCTGGAAGATGCTGACTCAAATTTGGCCGGATCGAAGGAATTTTTCCTTATTGTTCGATCTTTGTATTAATAATAAAAACTAGGAGCCAACGTAATTAACAAAAATATTTAACGTAATTCAAATGGAATTCATGAACATAGGTTATAGTCACATGAAATACGTGATGATAATTAAAATTTATAGTGGCCATCTACATATGATGCGCATACGCGATAAATATATTATGTAAACAAGTATAAAGAACGGCAATATTATGCAAATTATTAAGTGTTCAGCTAACAAATATGTCTGAAATTAGTATTGGAATTATATTCTCTACATAATGTTGTTGTTGTGTAATAGTTATTTTAAGAAAATAACGAACTTAAATAATTATTATTCATTCTAAAGTTGGAACTAATTCAAGAAGATCATCATTCTGCCTGCAGACTACGACAGTGGAATAACGTGGGCCTTTTCAAGGAGAGAGTAAATAGGCTTTATTTAGTGATGCATCCTCCATCGTCGACCTCATCGTCACTTTCCAGCAGTTGAGATGGAGGTCAAATGCGAACTTACATATTTTACAAAACATATTAAATTGTTTTATCATTCTCATCTTATCTCCATATCCTTAAGGCTCAAACTTAATGTAACATTTCTCACATGACAACATATTACACAGAATTACTTCAAAAATTGCGTCACATGTCATTCGTGTACGATTTTTGAGATAAAATGTGATATGACGAAATTTTTGGGATAATACGATGTTAGTTGTCATGTGCGGTTTTATGAATTAGCAATCAATAAATTCAAATTCTTTTCAGCCACAAATAGAACAACAATGGAACTTCCCTTCCAGTCTACTCAGTCAACCAAACTCCTTCGTTATAGCAGACCTTGAACCAGCTCAGTGGTATCAGATAAGAGTGACGTCTGAGAATTCTGCTGGCATTTCCACTTCTACTTATAATTATGCTACAACTACTTTGTTGGGAGGTAAGTAAGGCTCTTTTTGGTTTTTATAATTAAATAAATTATAGGTTTTTTTATATGACTCGTTTGGCCAAAACCTTACCTGATTCTAAGCGAAAATCCTGTGCTTACTGACGATATTGAATCACTGTCTTGGAGGAGAGACTTTGCCTCCCTATGCCTGTTCTATCGCTTGTATAATGGCCAATGTTCTGAAGAACTGTTTGACATGATGCCAATAGCAACATTTTATCATCGCACCGCTCGCCACCGGCAGGGAGACCATCCTCATACTCTGGAATCGAGTCGATCTCATACCGTACGGTTTCGAAGGAGCTTTCTCCCACGTACAATTAAGTTTTGGAATGAACTCTCTGTCGGGGTTGTCCCGCAGGAATACAGCATGGAATCCTTCAAGTAGGTTTCAAAGGTTTGAAAACTGTCCTAAAGGGTCGACAACGCGCTCGTGACGCCCCTGGTGTTGCAGGCGTTCATAAGCGACGGTGACCAAAAAAAATGTGACTGACCATTATGCGAATAAGCATAAAAAAACAGAAGTTGTCATAAGTCCCATGTGCCTGTAGGTTTTGTCCTGTGTAGGTCCCATGTACCAGCACCAATTACCCTTCAAAATCAGAACATGTATGTGTGCGTGTATGCGGCTATATATGTGTGCGGCTAGCCAATGAGAATATAAGAATAAGAAATACATTTTATTGTTGTGTCAAAACTGATGGTTTTACTTATTTACTCTTAGTAAAAGTTCCTTTCTTTTCTCTTTTTGAAGTATTTACGATTATATCGAAAATATTTTTTTATATATTTTTTTTACACGAACACCACTAATTTGGTGCTTGTCACGACATCTGGTGTATCAACTCGCGATTAGCAGTACTCTTGAGTTAATGGCCCTAATAAATAATTATATAATTGTATCTTATTTCAGAATCCATTGGACCACCATCAGAGGTCATCGACATAAACATGCTTGTCATCATATGCAGTTCAATACTGCTGACTATATGCTCTCTTACTTGCGTTTACATCCTCGTCAAGAGACATAAGTACGTATACCTTTCTTTCATAACAATTTCGCTAATTGATTAGGTTTTAATCACCATACATAGGAGTCAAGATATATTAGTATATCGCTTATCCGGTGTAACAGAGGCATAATAGTAAAGTTCAGAATTTTCCAGGACATAATAAAGAGATTGTAATTTTTCCATTTAAGTTTTGTTCTATTGCTATAGCATCAGTATTAAATAAAGCGTAATTAGTTTTATTGAATATTATAATGTTTTTCCTGCTCATATAATGTATACATATTAAATACTCCACTAGTTGGTTATCTTAGATTTGTAAGTTTTTACAATTGGTTCGTTATTACACCGGATGTGCGATATGTTGGTCAACGTTTTGTCTCCACAAAAGTAACATTATCATGCATCGCTAATAGGTGACCAGTAATATCTTATGCCACGTCCTACGACGACGATCTTGGTGACCCAACCGTTTGTATTGTAAGCGATGACGAGGAGTCCCGAGTGTCGATTCCAATTTGGAAAATGAACTTTTCTAAATTGTAGTTCTGGTCTGGGTATTCTAGGCTGTGTCCCAGAGTAGATTTAATTAGTCTGTTACACATAGTACAGGAAATTGTGTAGTTTGAGACCACGTCATTGGAGTGGTTGTTAAGAAAAAAAAAGATTTGTCATTTGGTTTGCGGAAAGGATAAATGTTACTGAAAACGCGTACTCAAGTGTATTTTATGAGGCTCTTAACTATTAGCGTTATAAAGAGTGCACATCGTCGCAGAGACACGTTGTAATGTGCAGGTCACACCGCGAACGAAACTACAGCACTGGCACGCTATGATGGCAGTTTTGACAGATTACAATAGTAAGGTCAAACTCAATTCATTATCAAAAAATATATAGTCAAATGCGAGTCGCATTTATAAGTTTTTAGATTTATAACTAGTATGAAAGAATTTTGTAGTTTATGATGGTAGAAAATAAACTATTTTTTCGTTTTTCATTGCAAGTTGGGTAGTAGATTAAAAAGCAGTTTCTAATTTACTTAATATAGCGTCAATTAGAAACTGCTTTATTTTACATTGAGCTTTGACGCGAGTTTCCCGGGGGTAGAAGTTGTGCTGGCCAGCGATCCAATGAGTGACGATCTTATGAGATTTTAGTTTTTAAAAATGCCGAGTTGCGTCGTAAAATTATACATTTCATACATTTTACTGCGCGTCACTATTAACAATGTACAGCAATTAGGTCTTTCAACGTAGTTACGAATTAATACGAAACTTGATTAGTTGATAAACTTCAAAACATAGCATGACGTTACTATAAGCTAACTTAGCTTAACTCACGTGGCCTGGGTATCTTTTCATACTTCCGTTCACACTAGGCTAACCGAGCTAACTAAACTAACCCAACGATTCCGTTAGCTATGTAATATAAGTCGCCCTTCTGCCGCCCTTCACCCTCGCACGTATCCCTAGCTCCTGTGTAAGTGAGCTCCTTACATCGTCATCCCACCTTTTTATCGCCTTTTCTCCGGTTCCTGGCCACTCGTTTTTTTCAATTTTGCATCGTTCTTTAATTCCTTTGCCACCCCTTTCTGATTTTGTTTCGTTCCATCGCCACTCCCTGCTTGAACGCGGCAGCATAGTGCTGTTAAAATTTCAATTGCGTCTAATTTTGGTTCCTTTACCAGATTTGTAATAGCTACTTCTAATCATGTGCAAATTTTGATACCGATCTGTAATTCTGTATAACTCGGCCATTTTGGGTCTCTTTTTTTCTCTTTACCATCAACTTGAAATAAATTTCTGTGGACCTGAAGTTTTCTTATTTTATTGCCTTGAATCTGGTCTTGGCTCGTTAGGGCTTACAACCTCTTCAAATTGTAGCGACGTACATGAAGAGCAAGCCCGGCTTAGGCTATTCTCTGTGAGCTATCGCGTCATGCGTGCTAAGGATATATGATGCAGTTACAGTCACATAGAGTTGAAATGTTATGCACAAACATTGCTCCCCCTCCCGTCAGTTTCAGATTGAAAACCCTATGAATCGACAAAATACCTCATCAATGTTTTTATCTTTTCTAGCCATCAACGCTTAACCGAATACAGGAACTCCCTAACAGTGGAGTGCAAGTCAGAACGCAGTAATGTAACTGCGAACACTCCTCAGAGCGTGCAGAACGACAATAACAGAGTGTATAGCACGCCTATACATTTGCCTGCTGAAAATAAACATGGTAAATGGTATTTTAGGCGATTACTTCGATAGCTGTGAACCGATTTCGTTAATTCTTTTTTTATTGGAAAGAAAGTACTTCAGTAGTGGTACCATTCAAATTTTAAGACAATATTCCACGTCTAATGGTAACTAATTAAGGGATGAATCCAGTTTGTTAGATCTCACGCACTTTTCGCACATCGATTTCAACGAAACAAGTAAATGCGATTCACATACTTTTGATATCGGTTTTTTAAATAATAGTAGTAAAATATCGTGCCATTTAACGATGTTAAAGATGTGTAATAAGTCAACATTCAACCATTTTGATTTATGTCGCTTTTCTTGTCAATAAATACCATGATACTTATTCTTATTGCAGAATTGTACGAGATAAGTCCTTACGCACAGTTCGCGATCGGCTTCCGGACATTCGGCCACGTGGACAACCAAGAAGTACCGACCAGAATGCATCTACCTGGTAATAGTAAATCTCGATATGATAGCGGTGAGTTGATTTTGTTGTATGCTGTAGCAGGACGTCACACATGCTACCAATTTAGATGCGACTATTCTCCAATTGGGCTACCACTGGTATTACCAAATATTAAAAAATTATGAAACGACCACCTGGAAGAAGCCGTACTTCGTGGCGTAAGAATCTTCGGACATAGTTGAACCTGAGCACAAAATCCTTGTTCTGTGCAGCTGTGTCTAAAATACAGATATCCGTATTCATAGCCAGCCTCCGGTAGGAAATGGCACTTCAAGAAGAAGTATACACTTTTAGGTATACTGTCCTCTTTATCTAACGTGGCCATTATTCTTTTCCCTTAGAGTGATACGCCTGTAAATTCATGTTTTAAAAATAAAATGTAGTCTGGTATGCTAGCGTTATATATTTTTCGCTATGCCGCCATTTAAAAAAAAATATTGTTACGCGTGTCCTGTTTTGTCAAAGCAAACTTTTAAGTATTTTGGGGAAGCTTAAAAGCGGAACGTATGGTCACGTTATCTTTATCATGACTAACGTAATGAACATTTTTATTGAAATTTAGTTATTAACATTCTGGGATCTGCGAAACAAGATGTACAACCTAAAACGGTAAGGGTGCTGGTGAAATTACAGACACATGGGACTTGTCAACTTATGTCTCAGGGTGACGGAAGCAGTGGCAGTGCCCGTAAGATCTTTGCGACTTAAAGCTCTGAATGGCACTGCAACTGTTATAGATAGGCGTGTCGCTTACCACCAGGCGCACGACTTGTTCTTCCCGTCGTTTTAAAAAAAGTCTACAACCTCCTCTAATCGGCTTTTTTAATGTCTTATTCAGTTTTATCGTTAAGCAAAATCAGCGCAACCATAAAACAGTAACCGTTATATACAATAACCAAATGGGTTAGCTAGGACAGGGAGGGTAGTATAGTTGAATGTTTTGTAGTAGGAGCAACAACAGGCAGAAATTCAATTATATGAGTTAGTTCAATATGTGAAATTGCTCTAGAATCTAGGACGTAATACGACTCATTTACTGGGACAATTTTGTGATCAATCTTCTTTTGAAAATAATAATAATAATAATAACTTTATTTAATAGCCATTACAGAGAGAATAGTTACAGCTAGTGTAATGAAATTTAGTACGTACTTAATTACTAGATGATTGATTGCCAGCCCAGCAGGTAGCTTCCAGACCCCACAATAGAAATAAACCTGTACTAGTGGATAGTACTGTTGCCACCACTGCGGGCTAGCATCAATCACATCAATCATATTAATTAGCTTGGCTTAAAAGTGCACAAATAGGAACTATGGTCATCCCAAACTAGTATAAAATACTGTTATTTGGGACCCAGAAGAACAAAGATTAAAATAAAAACAATAAAAATTTTAGACTAGACTTAGGTGCGATATGGATTAGTAATGTTAGTGCAGTTAGACGAGCCTTAAAAGTTTAAAAATGAAAGATTTTAATTTGAATTTGGGGCAACTCGAAATTTATGTGAACACCAAGTTCATGTTTTACGTTTTTACGACAATAGTCTTTTTACCCAAAGCTTTTAAGTCATTTGTGCCCAAAAGTACAAATTTCGACGTAAAAACAAAACGTTTTTAGAAGAAAAAGAGGTAACTCCACACAATACCCACCTTGCAATGTGGTTTCTTACTGTTAAGGATGCACATTACGATTCGATTTTTGTGAAAATCGATTCAAGTTCATACGATCTAAACACTTTTGTGTCGATTTATTTCAATGCTAGTTTCAAGCGAATCGATTCAATAGAAAGGCAAATCGAGTCGTCTAGATCAGAAACAATAAACTTTTGTAACAATATCATTCAATTTGAACAAAACTCGATTTATAGCACATATTTAGTTGTAAATGGTTTTTGCCCTCGATTTTGGGCCTTAATGGGTTTTGACTAGATTAAAACTCGGCGTTAACAAAGTGCCGGGTTAAAACCCGGGCGCTTGCCCATCTCTGGCTTGTTCATCCTTCCTATTAATGATATCATTATTGCAGGGTGTGTCTCATTAGAGTGAAAATCAAATAAATGGAGACAGAGCTTTTACTAAAAAAAAGCTACTATAGCAAGAATAGTGGCGCTTTTTGAATTGTGCCCATGTGGACTTATTTCTTGGAATTTTAGTTCCAGTGAGTTGTTGTGCCATGAACTGATATAATTAAATCAATGATTATTCATATTATCTTTTTTTAGAAACGAGCTTTCAAATGAGATCAGAATCAGAGGAGAGCGATTGTGTTTCGCGAACAACGACTCTCAAAAGCGCACCAAGAAGTAAGTACATCCCGGGTCTGTATTGACCCCAGTCAATTGTGCCAATGCCGGAGAATACGACTCTCTCTTCTAAAACTTCATTTATCAATTCAATATAATAATAATTGTAATCTAATGATGTAAGGCAATAAAACTTAGACTTATATGTGGGGGTATATGATAAAAGAGATATAAAAGAACAGCGCAGGTGATAAATTCAAGAGATTCTAGTGCTAATCTTGATGATAATCTGTGACGTACGAGTTAAAAGTCAGCGTTTCGTTACATTTACATTAGACGTAAAATAGGCGCCACGATGCGGCGAGTTGTGAAAACAAGCCCGTTACACTAAACGAGTCATTTAAATTTTCATCTTTGCATCAACCAACAAGCTACAGTACCTTGAGTTTTACCTAGTTCTTTTTATGACCCCTAAGGTGATAACAATATGCAAGAACTGAAATTTGCCATCTCTATATGCGATCTTTGAGGGAGGCCACTGTGCAGCAGTTGAACCTCTTTCGGCTTAAATTGGACGAAATTTTTTTACACAAAGACGTTCTGATTATTGAGTTGATTATTAAAACGATAGAGCAGAGGTTTAGACCTTACTAAACTCAACAACTTTTCTTACATTTGTGATGTTATAACACCAGTATAAATACATTGTCTTTAAGGTTCACTACACTTTGTAAAGATTGTACTCGTAGACTTATACTTCGTCCGACCATTTATTTAACTTTTGACAGCTCGAATTCTAATCCATTAGTGATGTCTTAATGCGTTTCCGTTTCGATTTTTTTATGACAATCGATTTTGTTTATGAAGAAGTTTTAATCGTAAAAAACGAGGATATTGTCTGATTGGGATCGTGATGTTGCGTTTGACAGTTTGTCTACTCAAGAATTAATAATTAACGTTCATAAGAATCAAGTGATAATTCCTGTTCACGTGGAAAAGAATCCGACGATTCATTATAATAAACAATAAAAAAATATTATAATTATTTATTTCATTTTATTATAATTTATAAGACAGGTATAAAATTATCTCTTAATCTTTTATCTTCTTGAATAATTTTCGTTACACAATCTGTTGCCTCGATAAATATCGCTTCATTTTTTTTTTAATTTATTAAGGCTTTGGCAAAGCCATCAGCCTAAGCATGAAGTTTAATTATGTTTCTGTAAATACGGCCGCCACAAAGAGGATAGGCAATTTGAGGCGGCGTGGTTGGATTGACTCGGGATTCCTTAAAACGGGCCGATACGGGTATTTTAGTTCGAGATTCGTATAATTTCGCGTTTTAATCTTCGATTAAGACACAATAGCACTATCCTATTCCACTTTAAACTTTAGATTTCACAAAATCATTGAAAGTCAAAATAAAAACGACACTTTTCCCTCCATAAGGTCCAGAGCGAATAAAAAATATCGCTTCACTAAATTTAAAAAATAAAAGAGTCCAGGAAGTATTGATTTTTTTGTCTATGGTTGTTTCCTTTATTTTTTTTCCATCCTCTAAGACGGTTGTACTGATTGTATGTCAATAATTACGGAACTTCGGAGGCATGTATATGTCAAAAGTTAATAAATGGTTGGAAAATTCCACATTCACATTTTCGTATAAAAAGACGTAAAAAGTCAAAGTACACTCAAGTTTTTTTTTTACAGAAGCCTGTAGAGTACCGCATCACAGGTAGCTGAAGAAGAGAAGAATCATTAGCTAGTATATACTTAGAAATACATTTATGAATGGTTGTGTTCATTTTACATTGTAATACAATAGACAGTAATTTGGAAATGTAATTTTGTATCGTGTTTAGTCAGTTTTAAACATTATGAATCTGATATCTCTTCCTTGTTTAAAATGGGACATTTGTATTTACGGGAGGTACCTAAATGTAATTTTAACTAAAAAACTGCTGTTAAAATCAGACATATTAACTAAACTAGCGGATAACTCACGTATTTCCAACCAGTCCGTGGTCCATAAATAGCAAGGACCAATAACTCGAGCCACCAGATATCGCGACGAGTACCAAATGGCTATTTTCGTAACTAATTGACGAGATGCAATCATGGTTGCAATTTACCAAAGCTACCCTAATTTCTAGTGATAACAAACAAATCGACTAGATGGCGCTTATTCCATATATTTTTAAGGACACTGTCAGCTATGCTTTTATTATGTTTAGAATTAGCGCCATCTACTCGTGTTAGCTAGCGTTTATTTTTTAAATTAATTTGTAACATACAATGCGATCTATTGGCACGCATATTTCTTATAGTTCCGAAAATAATATTATTAATATTTGAATAACTTCATGTTAAAGACGAATTAATCGCTTTTCACTGCCATTTATGTAATATAAACTACTTCCAGATTCTCGATCAGCGCCATCTAGACATTAGATGGGATTTTGACCTTTTTCAGGGTTACGATCTGTAGGATGGAAATTAGCAATCCTCTTAAGGTATGAGTCCATGATCATGAGTTTCAGGGGCAGTGACTAAGAAATTCGACTTAAACACGTGAATTACCTGTTAGCTTAGTTAATATATCTAAATGTACTTACACAGATTTTGTTTTTATTGTATGGACATAGGAGCGATGTGTGAATGTTTTATTCCGATCATCAGTGAAATGGACTAGGACCGCCTTATTGGAGTTCACTAACCTTGGTATAGACTTTTTGTGATAAGACTTACGATTGAACTACTAGGTACTGTTGGGTAATTTTCCGAAAAATTTCAAGTAGTGGAAAATTTAAAAATTGGAAAAATGTAATTTTGAAGGCTCATATTATGTTCTACGTTTGCAAATATCTTTTGAAGTTTTATTTAGCGTGAAATAAACTTGTATAGTTAAAAGGTACATTAACTAAAACAAAATTTAAAATGATTTCACAAGAACGAAAAAAAACTTCTTAATGGCTCCAACGTTTTCGTTCAATAATTTCAACTTTTGACAAATGTCAACGTCAAATATGGAAAATTAACGGAAAAATATTGGAAAATATATCCGGAAAAATCTTTATTTGCAGAAAAAATTTTTCAAAGTGGAATTCTTTTATGACCCAACACTAGCTTGGACACAATCTCACCTGATGTTAAGCAATGATGAGGCCGACAAATGCGCCCGATGCGTTTTTGTCTAGCAAATGGTTTCGCAAAACATAGTACCCAGAAGTGTATTCCATATCTTTGTCGTACGTATCGGAAAAAATGGAACAAAAGCGGAAATATATGGAAACCTACCGATTCATGTCTAGTCAAAATTTAACAACAAAAGTATCTAAAATTAACTTGTCTACCTTTAATTATCACTGCCATGCGTTTGTTAACTAAATAAGTTACCTCTTATCAACGAACCGTGTTGAGTACTATGAATAAAAAAAGGATGAAAGTACTGTTGTTGATACAAAAGATCGAACAACACATAGTAAAATTCCCACGATTTGATTGACAAAAACTTTCATAAGTTTCTCACAGGTGGCGGTGATGACAAGAAAGAAATTTAAATCCATTACAAAGATCTGCCTCCGTAGTATGCCGCCTCGATAAAGCTATTATATCCACATTCAGCTATCAAATTCGAGCGATAAACGGCATTTTAAAAATTTATCACAATAGCTTATTGGCTATTGCGATAAAATTTTAAAATTTTCGCCATATTTGGCGAGCACCGTGACGTCACATTTTTATGTCATCTCGAGCGCCGCGGCTAATGACTGCAAAAGATTAACACAGTGCCAAACATGGCTGCAAGGTCAGCTGATTTTAAAACATTTTGACAGTTCTACACAGTAATTTTATCGACGAGATGAAAGAAATAAAAGACAAACAAATTTATATATATAAATTATTCGGAAAAGTTGAGGAGAACATTTCTAATACAGTTCAGTACATAATAGTAATTAGAAATATGTAAATAATAACTAATATAAATAGAGATGAGAAAAACTGCTTTTTTTAAACGTTTAAACGATATGCTTTTTACAAAAAAACGTGCTTTTTTAAACGCTTTTTCACTTGAACGCTTTTTAGTTTGAAGCTAACAAAATCGTTTAGAAAACGTTTAAGCGCATAGACTTTTATGTTAAAAAAAGCCTTCAACGTTGTGTTCATAGCGAAACGCAAAACCTTTAGTTGTTTTAAGATAAGTAAGTTTTTTTGTAAAAAAACGAGTTATATTTTTATTTATGACATAACATTGTTAACATTTTGTTCATTGGCATTTAAAAGCGTTCAAAGACATAAGTTGTTTAACTTTTGTAGTTGTTAACCGTTGAAATTGAAAAACTGCTTATTTTTTAACGTTAAAACGTACGTTTAAAAAGCGTGCTTCTAAAAGTTTGACTCTTAAAAAGTCGTTTAGAAAAACTTTTAAGCATATAGACTTTAAGTTTAAAAAAGCTTGCAACGTTATGTTGAATTAATTTTAGGAAACATAGATGACACTACTTGAAACTTAGGCACGTTGTAAAAAATTAAATTGTTGCGTACCTATAGAACTGGCCAGTGACCAACGCTTACGCTTAAAATGAAAAGCGTGCTAATGCACTTATTTTAAATAGCAGACTTTTTGAAGTGCTTTTGGTTTAAACGCCCATCTCTAAATAGAATGTAAAATATGTAAAAATAGAAACAACAAAAACCAGACTTTTTTGTTTCATCGCGATGATTAAACGACAAGGATAGCTATACGCTATACGCAATTTCGTACCGTTATTCTTGTTCTTCAAAATGTATAACAATAGTTCATTACCAAATAAGCAAACTTAGCTTTATCAACTGAAATAAATATTATCACGGGGAGATCTATCCCACACATACTGCCTTGCTACGACTATTAAAATATGCGCATAGAGAAATTCATAAGAATTGCTGGCTCGGTCTGTCAATCAGTTGGTAAGAGCTGAATCGAATCCAGTCAGATCGATGGAATTTTTGTTTGTGTTGTTCTATCTTTGTATCAATAATAATAACAAACTGCAAAGCCTACCGCTTAACTGAGTCCGTTCCTGGGGTAGCTGGGCGGTGCGGGAGGAGTGACGTCAGTTATGTCGCGCTGTACGCGGGATATTTTCAACAAGATTTTTCTGACGACATTCAATGCGACTTAATTGATAAAAGTGCTTACCAAATTAGTCAATTTATTATTATGTAAAACAATAGTAAAAAAACTGTTTCATTGATCGTTGATATATACAAGCTATGTGGCACTTTTTTCAATCAACTTGTTATTGAACATCATCAGAAAAATCTTGTTGAAATTATCCCGTGTACAGCGCGACATAACTGACGTCACTCCTCTCGCACCGCCCAGCTACCCCAGAAACGGACTCAGTTAAGCGGTAAGCCTTGTAGTGGAGTATTTCCACAAGAAAACATGACTATCATGGTAGTAAAGATATCATGATATTCAATAAAATAAATATACTGGCTTATATAAAATTTTATTGATAATATCTTTGAATGTAGATTTGTTTATCAAACTTAAGATACTAGTCAAAATTAATGTTTATCTTCAAAAGACTGATCGTTTAGTGTTATTTTTTTGTTATTTAAAAAAACGTAATTATCTTCAATTCTATAGAAATTAAATTTCTAATTAAAGAATAAATTAAATGTTAGAATTTTATGTTTGTTTCATTCATAATAGGTAAGATAAATTTTTTTTCACTGTTCTTTTTCTCAAAATTGATTCTGATCTGGGTGTTTCGGATCATAGAAATAAATCCAGATAGAACGGCGATTAAGGTAGTTTTCCACCAGCAGCGAGGAGAAACGAGACGAAACAAAAAATTGCTAAGATTCAGTTCAGTTCACCTAGCGATAAATACGTGGCTGAAGTAACATGTCCCGTACATTACTATTATTAAATAATGTTAACAGAAGAAGAATTACATGTAATTACTAATTATTATAAAATATTTTTTTTAATAATTAATTTCGCTTACATACCCTAAAATTGATATTTAATAGTCATCGCCAGCTCGCGCGAGACTATGCGGACACTCACGCTAGCTCGGCAAGAAATCGTGTTTCCGTTGCAGAGTATAATATAACATGCTCTATCCTGGCAGCAATATGGTTCAATATTACATGAACAAATATTTCAATTTTCGCCTCACCCGTCCTCGTCAATCCAGACCATTTCATTTCGACTGAAGATAGGCTAGGAGAGAATTGAAATTTTGTCATACAAATTTCAATCGTCGTCTCGTCTCGTGTCGTCTCGCTTTGCCGGTGGAAAACCACCTTAATGTGCTTTTTTAAACAGATCAAGCACGATATCTTTTTCGCAAACTACGTAACATTGAGAGCGCATAATTAGTGAAATAACACAAGTATTTTGTCTTATTATCAAAATCTTATTATCAAATTATGTTTACAACTTGTAGGTAAAATAATGGGAAAACCCTACGCTCCGAGTGAAGTGTAGGCATTGATGCGCCAAACAACAAACATATTGGATTTTATTATATTATGGTAATAAGTTCGAAATTACAAAGATGGATCAGGTTAGAACGGACTTGAATGTCACGCGTCAAATTCGAAATGAAGTGGCCCAATTTTGCCCGACCGCTTTTGTTTTCATTATTACAAAATACTTTGTTTTCTAGACTGTCTGATGACCACTCATCCACATTCCACCACCAAGCTATGTGTTTGCACCTCTCCCCTTTCTAGCCATCTCTGTATCGACCTTACTCAAGCCTAGGGCGCGTTCCCATTATGTTGTGATGACAGATAATCGTGCAATTTAAAGTGACCGTCAGGATGGCTGGTCGCCTGTCGCATCTGGTGC